AACGCAGCGCTGGTGTACACCACAATGCCTGCGTGCATAGGACAGGTCGAAGGAGCATGTATGTGAGGATTTGCTGCGGACAACTAGACGCAGCGCCAGGAAAATGCTGAGAATCGAGAGCGACGTTCTTCCCTCCTCCCTCCTCCTCCACCTCCACCACCTCCTCCTCCTCCTCTTCCTCCTCCTCCTCCTTCTCGTCCTCCTCCTCCTCCTCCTCCTCCTCCTCCCCCTCCTCCTCCTCCTACTCCCCCTCCTCCTCCTTACCCCCTGTCGAGCTGGTTGGCGCTACAGCGCACGCGCGCATCTCATCGCGCACCGCATAATGGTCCATTGAATCGGTCCACTTAGTTCTCGGACGGCAAATTTACCTGGAGCCTCCTGGACGCAAATGGGAGGAGTTAGTGTGATGTGGGCGGACTCGGGAGGACTCGTAGATTCCAGCGCCGCTCCGTTGTCCGTAATGATTAGTTTCTTTTGTTTTCTATGGAACCCACAAGCGCTCAATTTTGTCATCAGGATTTGTTCGAGTATTCTATATGTATATATATATATATACAGCAGTGGTGCTGTGTTGCACAAGGTTGTTGTGGTGCACGCAGGCCCCGTGTTGCACACAGGCACTGCAATGCACGCAGGCATTGTGGTGTACACTGGTGCTGTGTTGCACACGGCTGATGTGGTGTATGCAAGCGCTGTGGTGTGCACAAGAGCTGCTGTGCCCGCAGGCACGGTGGCAAAAAACTGACGCTGTGTTGCACGCGGCTGCTGTGGTGTACATAGGCGGTCTGGTGTACACAGGCGCTGTGGTGCACGCAGGCACTGTGGTGTACACAGGCGTTGTGGTGCAAATCGCCACCTACATGCTGGCGCTACCCGTCCCCCGTCATTCCTTGGCATTCCCATACGCCGCCGGCGCGAAACGTGACGTCATCGACCCCCTCTCCCCCCCCAAATGATGATTGCCGTCATCGGCCCGGAATAAAAAACAGGCTTCAGCCGCGTCCGCGCGCACGACGACTATGAGCGACGAGCGACAAGCCATGGGCGACGACGGCGAGGACGACCACGACTGTGGACCAGACTCCCGTGCGGATTGGATTCCTGCGCGGACACCTGCGCGGAACCCAATGCGCACGGCGGCAGTGCCCGGAGCACTCTGGGGGAGGGAGCGTTACGTCATAGGGGGGGGGGGAGCGGGGGCCATGACGCCCGTCATGCCCCAAACAATCAAGAAACGGTCTCTACAAAATACCCGAAATCCTCTGGCACAACCCGCCTGCAACACGGAAAAACCCGCAAGCAACTGCCGCCGCCTCACGCCCAAGATGGCCTCCAAGATGGTCTCCAAGACGTCTCCAAGACAGCCAGTATGGCCCCAAAGCGGTCCCAAAAGTGCTCCAAGAGGAACTTCAGCAGGCCAACATCATTAATGTTACGTATGTTTTCCAGGGATGTTAATGCTCTCGCCCTTTTGGGCTTCCAGCTCTCAAAGCCAGCCCCGTATGCCCCCAAAATCACCCCAAGACGGGCCAAGAGGCCTCCAAGAGGCCCGCAAGGCGGCCCCAAGACGGCCCCACAACTGCCCTGAGAGGCCCCCAAGTTGGCCTCCGAAGGCCAAGAGGTCCCTCAGAGGCCCCAGAAGCCCCCAAGAGTCCCACAAGACGCCCCAGGAGGCCCCCAAGAGGCTGCCAGGAAGCCCGAAGACAGCCTCGACAGGCCTCCTTTTCCTTTCCCCCCTCTGCGTCATCCTCCTCATTATTCTCCTCTTCCTTCCTCTTTGTCTCCCGTTCCACCAAGGGGTTCCACAACGGCTGGGGAAACATATAGTCCAATAGCTTGGCCAGATTGCGGCCCAACGTTTGGCCGCATGGGCGTTCCCAAAGGCAGGCGGCGGCGTTGGTTCGCCGTAGGCATCTTCGATCAAATCGGCCCTGCCATGGATCAACAGTGGGACAGCGTTGTCACCTCGAGTCAACAGAGCAACGGATGAAGATAGAACCGAAGTCTCGACGTGTGGCATGGATGGGCCATAGAGACTGTTGGATCTAAATGCGGAAACAGGATCGACGCAGCGAGATGTCAAACAAGGGGGCAGAGAGCCATCGACAAGAGCAATCACAAGCCAACCTTCCACCCTCCTTGCTTCACCCATCCTCTCACATCTCTCCTCTCCTCCCTCTCTCCTCGTCCCTTCTCATCCTCCTTCCTCTCTCCTCCGCGTCCTCTTACCCGTTTCTAACTTCCAATCTGAAATACATACCCATCAAATACTAAATCATCACGCACCGAAGCGCAACATTAACAAAACCTCCCCGATGACCCCGAGGTTCGCCCAATAGGGGTCAACTTTGGATGGGGAAGCCGGGTCGAGGTCAGAAAACCATCGCAACTTTCGACGTCGGGCCAACTCGTCAATCGCCGAGTCGGCTCGGAAATCCGAAACCCGAACTCGAATCGGAAGATTTTCGTGAGAGTCGGATCGGTACCGAACCAGCCTGGGGTCGCGCCGGATCGGGGTCCCAGGTCACCGCAGACGCTGAAAGTACGACCGCCGCCGGAGACGACGAGATGCAGAGAGTCGGGGGCGCCCCTTTCAACACGGATTGCAGATTCTGCATTTCTTCCCCAGACGGTCCTTGCACTGCTACAGGTGAGCGTTTTCTTACTCGGCGTTTCGACATTGGGCGGAAGGGGGGGGGGGTCTGGCTCGGGACCTCTGCTCATTGCGACTGTTTGCAAGAGTGCTGCCTCTGGGGGAGACTCCACCCGCTCGAAACAGGCGCCAAAAACAGCCAAGATCTACTCCATGGGGGGGAGGGGTGGGGTGCGAGGGCCCGCGCCAATCGGCAAAACAATGAATAAAAAAACGACCACCAGCGTGACTAATGTTTGGTGAACTCTCTGTCACGTCGCACTTATGAATCGATGTGGGTGGAGTGAGCGCGGCCGCAGGCGAGATTGTGGTGAGGGAGGATTTTCAGAACACAAGGAGCCCGCTCGCCGCAGTGATAAAGCGGCGCGGAGGAAGTTTCAGAACTTGGAGTAAGGTATCTCCGCTGTAAGAACAAGCGTGGTGAATCACCTCAGTGGCGGAGTAAGTTTTCAATGCGGAGAAGCGGGCGGGTTACGATTCCACACCGTGAGGAACACGTGATTTCATAGGAATGGAAGGGGACCTGGGTGCGGGGCCGAAACCCACTCCGCCACAGGCGGACTCCATGTTGGAGGATTATGCGGGAGACGTGGATCCCACGCCTAAAGGGATCGTCAGAACTTTGGGAACGCGTTTGTACAGTGCGGGCGCGGTCGCAAGAAACCCTCGCAGGAAACCCAACCCTGAAAACCCGCGCGCGAGGTGCACCTGAGGGGAACCCCAGAGCACCCTGAACGCAGCAGCTTCCTTGACGCCGTGGGAAGTCACCGCGCAGCTCGCGGAGCGAAGAAGCCCAGGATGCCCAGACGAAGATCACATGGTTTCTTGATGCGCGCCCCCACTGTTAGGGGCTCTTACCCTACTGATGCTACAAGTGCTCGGATGGGTTCCCGGAGGTTTTGCCTGGTCGCAGCCCGCGGGCGCTTCGTGCACCGGCTGGGCCCCGCGGGTCTTCGCCTGGCCGCCGCCCGTGGGCGCCTCTCGCACGCCGGCTGGGCGCCTCGGAGTTTCGTTTGGTCGCCGCATGTGGGCGCCTCGCGCATTGGCTTATGTTGCTCCCATCGTATTTACCACATCCCAGAAATAGTTTCGAGCAAAACAGTGTCGAAAGAGTGTCGAAACAGCGTCGGGCGAGTCTCCCAGGGCCCGACACGTGAGAACCCTGGAGCTCCAGCACTATTTTTTGGTGCTTGAAATTCTTTCTGGCGGTCATGGCGAAAGTAGGTTGGAACATCATGAGCATTGGCTGGGTTGCCAGGGTTTCGCCTGGTCGCCGTCCGTGGGCGCCCCGGTGCGTTTGCTAGCGTCTGGAAGCAAGCATCATGTACACCCCACAGATTGCAAACCTAGATTGCGCTCCATAGATTGCCCCGCGCAGATCGAGCCCGACATCTAGCACCAAATGGCATACACTGCACCAAGTAGCTTGCACCACATACGTTGCAACACGTACATTGCACCACATCGCATGCACCACATATATTAAAACTCGGAGACAAAATCCTCTCTAGCAGAACATCCCAATGAAACCGACCGGGGACCACACCTGGCTGGCGCAAGCCTGTAAACATGCGGCCGTTAACCCTCCTGATCAACGAACATTGGCAATTCGCTAGTCAGCTTGACAGGTTGGGGGTTTAATCAACATCTGGGCAACTGGATGACGCGGATGTCTTCCTCTTTGCCACCATGGACTCTGAATCTTCCAGAACAGTCGCCCTGCACGTCAAATTCCTTTACACAAGCTGTACGGCGTCACGCGCTTTCGGCGCGACGAACGAGGCGCGCCCCCCTTGGCCCGTTAGAAGCAGATCTACTGGGACGGACCAATCGCTCCGACTTCCTGACAGTCGGTACAGCCATCGCCGAACACCTGCCAGCCGAGGCACGGGTCGTTGGACGGGTTCCGAGCGCAGTAGCCCTCTCCGTGAGACGCGTGGACGTACGCCTGCAGGTCGACGCCGGCCTTGGTGCCGTCCGTCAGGTCGCAAGTCCACCCGCAGTCCTCTCCCTCCCAGCACGACTTGCACGAGGCAGTCCCAGCGTACTGGCCCTGCCACTGCTGCGGGCACACGCTGCCCTTGATGTCCAAGCCGTCCCAGAAGGCGCAGCTTCGCTGCGGGTCGGTGGACTGCAGGGAAGCAGACGCCTGGGCGCTGCTGCTCATGCCGTTGGCTGCACAGTCGGTACAGCCATCGCCGAACACCTGCCAGCCGAGGCACGGGTCGTTGGACGGGTTCCGAGCGCAGTGGCCCTCTCCGTGAGACGCGTGGACGTACGCCTGCAGGTCGACGCCGGCCTTGGTGCCGTCCGTCAGGTCGCAAGTCCACCCGCAGTCCTCTCCCTCCCAGCACGACTTGCACGAGGCAGTCCCAGCGTACTGGCCCTGCCACTGCTGCGGGCACACGCTGCCCTTGATGTCCAAGCCGTCCCAGAAGGCGCAGCTTCGCTGCGGGTCGGTGGACTGCAGGGAAGCAGACGCCTGGGCGCTGCTGCTCATGCCGTTGGCTGCACAGTCGGTACAGCCATCGCCGAACACCTGCCAGCCGAGGCACGGGTCGTTGGACGGGTTCCGAGCGCAGTGGCCCTCTCCGTGAGACGCGTGGACGTACGCCTGCAGGTCGACGCCGGCCTTGGTGCCGTCCGTCAGGTCGCAAGTCCACCCGCAGTCCTCTCCCTCCCAGCACGACTTGCACGAGGCAGTCCCAGCGTACTGGCCCTGCCACTGCTGCGGGCACACGCTGCCCTTGATGTCCAAGCCGTCCCAGAAGGCGCAGCTTCGCTGCGGGTCGGTGGACTGCAGGGAAGCAGACGCCTGGGCGCTGCTGCTCATGCCGTTGGCTGCACAGTCGGTACAGCCATCGCCGAACACCTGCCAGCCGAGGCACGGGTCGTTGGACGGGTTCCGAGCGCAGTAGCCCTCTCCGTGAGACGCGTGGACGTACGCCTGCAGGTCGACGCCGGCCTTGGTGCCGTCCGTCAGGTCGCAAGTCCACCCGCAGTCCTCTCCCTCCCAGCACGACTTGCACGAGGCAGTCCCAGCGTATTGGCCCTGCCACTGCTGTGAGCACACGCTGCCCTTGATGTCCAATCCGTCCCAGAAGGCGCAACTTCGCTCGGTGGACGATCCACGCAAGCTCGGCGCAGGAGTGCTGGCAGCTCCAACGGCGAAGGTGACGGTGAATCCGCCACTGTGCACCCTGGCACGTTGAGGCGTGGTAGAATGCCAAGGGCTGTCAGGTAACATTTGTTTTTTTGTTCGTCGCCCCCTCCCGAGGCCACGATCTCTGGGCAAAAGGCGATGAAACATTTGCGCTCCCGAGGCCACGATGCCTCGAAGACGGCCCAGGATGGCCCCAAGGCGGCCCAAGAGGGCCTTGGAGGGCCACAAGAGGACACCCAACAGGGTCCGAAGACGCCCAAACCGATGAGCTCCCTCAGGTGTTTGACAAATGTTTGCATTCTTGCCTCTTCGAGGCTCGAAATGTGGCCCCAAGACGGCCCAAGGGGCCTCCCAGAGGGTCTCAAGATGGCTCACGAGGACTCCACGATAGCCCAAGTGGCATCCAAGACGGCCCCAACACGGCCCAAGAGGGTCCCCAGGGGGATCCACGACGACTTTAGAAGGCCCTTCGACGGCAGAAGACTGCCCCGAGACAGCCCCCAGGCCCCCCCCCATACGGCCAAGATCGCCCCAAGAAACGGCCCAAGAGAGCCCCAAGACGGCCGAAGAGCCCCAAGGCGGCCCCAAGACGGTCCCAAGGAGCCCTGAAGACTGCCCCACAGGAGACCAAGGTAGCCCCAAGACCAGTCTAGTGAACTCCATTAGGGCTCCTCAAGCAATGAAAATGAAAGGTGTCACATGTGACAGCCGTCTCTTCCTCCTTCTCCGCCTCCGCCCCCCCCTGCTCCTCCTCCTATTCCTCCTCCTCCTCCTCCTCTTCCTCTTCCTCCTCCTCCTCCTCCTCATCCTGATCTTCATCCTCATCCTCATCCTCATCCAACTCATCCTCATCCTCATCCTCATCCTCCTCCTCATCCTCATCCTCACCCTCATCATCCTCATCACGGCCCTGCCAAGCCTAGGGACACAAAATGTCACACGTGACTGCCTCCCGTGTCCCCTCGAACAGTCGCCACTCAGAATGCTGGGCTGGCACCGTGGCGGAACTTGCCGCTGGCAGATGGATCCGCAGCCCTCTGCATTCATCACATGGGGTGCTTGGCGTGCTCGACGTTTTTCCCCAAACAGTGCTTGCACTTACGGCTTCTTACTCCTTTTCTAAGGAACTGGGCCTGTCTGTCGGTCTGGCGGCTCTGTTGTGGCCGCCGCCGCCCCGTCGCCGGCCGTAACTGGGCCTGCCGGTGCGTCTGGCGGCTATGTTGCCGCCGTCGCCGCCCCGCCGCCGCCGTCGCCGATCGTCGCCGCCAGATTGCACCATACAGGATGCACAATCCATCTTGCACAACCTAGATTCTCCTTCCTAAAAACAGAATAGGATCTACCCCCTCCCCCCCGGCGTTATCACTCCCCCTTTCGGGTATGTAAATCACATATGATTCTGACCACATGTCCATCCTAAATATGAATTTGCACTATCCCCGGGGGGGGCGGTATCCCCCCCCTGAGGTTCCCTGGTAAAAAACACTATGCGGTGACGTTTTCTGTTCTAACAAAGCACTGTTTCGCGACTCCCTTGCAAAAAATGGGGCGAAGTGCGCACGCGCGCGCCGGAAGGACTTCGCAATCGAGTTTCCAAAACACATACGAAAACACAAGGTTTCGCAACACTGATTTACTAAAAAAGCTTCCGCGCGAGCTCTTGCGAAATCTTAACCATAGATGTTTTCAAGGTTTTCACAAAATACTATTAAGCGGGCTTCGCGCGCGCGCATGTCGAAATCTGTCGAACGCCCTTGCGCGTGTGCCGTCGCGAGAATCCTCTGCAAACAATGGGACGAAGTGCAGACGCGCGCGTCGTCGCGCGCGCATGCCGAAAACCTTCAAAATCCATCGGTTTCGGAAGGATTTCAAAATCGTGTCTCCAAACAACCTACAAAAACACAAGGTTTCGCAACACGGATTTTCAACGAAAGCGTGCGCGCGCGCTCTTGCGTCGTCGTCGTCGTCCTCCCTCTTCTCTCTTCCCTCGTCGTCGTCGTCGTCGCCGTCGTCGTCTTCTGTCTTTCCTCGTCGTCGTCGTCGTCGTCTTGGCGTCGTCGTCGCTTCCGTCGTCGTTGTCGCCGTGGTCGTCTTTCCTCCCTCGTCGTCTTCGTCGGCGTTTCGTCGTTGTCCATCCTATTTCGTCGCCGTCGTCGTCGTCGTCGTCGTCGTCGTCTGCACTCCTCCCTCGTCGTTATCCTCCTCCCTCGTCGTCGTCGTCGTCGTCCGTCGTCGGCGTCTCGTCGTCGTCCCTCCTATTTCGTCGCCGTCGTCGTCGTTTTCGTCGTCGTTGTCGTCGTCGTCGTCCCTCCTCCATCGTCGTTGTCGTCGTCGGCGTCGCCGTCCTTCCTCCTTCTTCGTCCTTCGCGTCGTCGCCGTCTTCCCTCCTCCATCGTCGTTGTCGTCGTTGTCGCCGTCGTCGTCCTCCCTCCTCCCTCGTCGTCGTCTTCGTTGGCGACGTCGTCGTCGTCGTCTTCGTCGTCGTCGTCGGCGTCGGCGTCGTCTTCGTCGACGTCGACGTCGGCGGTGTCGTCGTAGTCGGTGTCGGCGGCGCCGTCGTCGCCGTTGTCGTTGTCGTCGTCGATGCGTGGCCAAGTGCCACATGGTACCTACCGTCACGGTCTTGTCTTAAGAAGTCTTGCGACCAAGTTGCGGGCGGGTGGGTGGGATGTTTGCGCGAGCAGTGGGGGTGGTCAGGCGCGGTGCAGGGTAGTCAATTGCACCACATAAATAGCGCAACATGTATTACAGACCACACGTTGCACCACAAAGAGTTCATCACATATACTGCCCCGCATGGGTGGCACAACCTAGATTGCACATCATATATTGCACAACGTAGAATGGCCAACATGTATTGCAAATCCCAGGTTGCTCCACATTGGCTGCGCACCGCATATTACACAACATAGCTTATACCACACAGATGGCTCAATAGATATTGCACAACATGGAATGCGCCATGTGGGGTGCACCACATATTGTGTATCACATCGATTGCACGACATAGATTGCCCTTTAGATGTCGCGCACCACGTATTGCACCACTTCTGCTGTACAGCATAAATAGCACAACGTAGATCGCACCACATATACTGCCCACGAAGATGGCTCCATACATACACATATATACATATATGTATATGCATTGCACAGCACCGGTTGTCCCACACACTTGCGTCACATGGACTTTCGTTTCAAACATAATACAAATAATAAATCATATTCCCTACCGAAGCCGGACTCAACAGTCCTCCTCTCGCGATATGTAGTTTGCATCGGATTATGGCCCCGTGGCCGCGCGCGTCGTCGCGCGCGCATGCCGGAATCATTGGACAACCTTAGATTTCGCAGGGGCTTCAAAATCGAATGCCCCGAACACACAAGCATATATATGTGTACATATATATATATGTATATATATATATGTACATACACTGTTTTGCAAACTCAGATGCCAACATAACTTGCGCTCGCACTCTTGCGGATTCCAAAAGAACCATTGGTTTTCCACGTGTTCGTCAAATTGTGCCAAGCGGGCTTCTCGCGCCGCATGTCGAACTCATCCGGGCGCCCTTGCGCGCACGTTTTGGGGGGGGGGCATGATCCGTGCCAAATAATACTGCGCGGGCCAATCGCATGCATCGGCCGCGCGCGCTCATGTCGAACCCCGTCAAAAACCTTCACCGCCAACGCGAGGACATCAGCATCGGTATCGGCGGGCGTGATCAACAACGGCGCCGTCATTGGCCTTGCCGTCGTCATCGCCACCTCCGTCACCACCGATGCTCTCCAAATCATGTCTACCGTTGTCAGCGTCGCCGTGATACCGCGCCCGCCCAAGTCACCGACTCTCACTGAAGTGCCCGCACGGTCAGCGACACCGCGGCCGCGTCGACCGTGCCAAACTAGAGGCCGCTGCGCGCGCAAAAAAACGCGGGCTAGCGCGGCCACAGAGACGCACAAGCTAACGCCAAGCATGCATCGCAATCGCCGCCGCATGGGTTTTGCAAACCAAGTTGCGGGTGGGTGGGTGGGATGTTTGCAAGAGCATGGATTGTGTCAACTCGCTTGTAGAAATCAACTGCACCACATATATTGCACATCGTATGCTCCTAAAACTGATTGCACAGCATCGATTGCTCCACGTGGTTGCATCATATATATAGATATATTGTTCCACATAAGCAACACCACATATATTGCGAGAGACACACTGTTCGGGGTCCACGCTGGCTCACATATTGTTGTGCACCCTCCCACAAAGTTCCCACCAGCCTCTGGCACAACCCGCCGGTCACACAGAAAGACCGGAAACTAATTTCTTCCGCCTCCAAGATGGCCTCCAAGACGGCCAGTATGACCCCAAAGCGGTCCCAAAAGTGCTCCAAGAGGAACTTCAGGAGGCCAGAAAATTACTGCTTTGACTCAGGTCTTCCAATGATGTTAGTGTTTTCGCCCTTTCGGGCTTCTGGCTCTCCAAGCCGGCTCCATCCTCCAAGATCGCCCCAAGACGACCCAGGAGGCTTCCAATGTCCGCAGGACGGGCCAAGAGGACCCCAAGACAGCCCAAGAGGCCCGCAAGACGGCCCCACAACTGCCCAGAGAGGCTCCCAAGACGGCCTCCGAAGGCCAAGAGGTCAATCTGAGGCCCGCAAGAGGCCCCGACGAGGTCTCCAAGAGGCTCCCAGGAAGCCTGCAGGAAGCCCCAAGACGGCCTCGACAGGCATTCTTTTCCCCTTCCTTCTCTTCGTCCTCCTCATTCCTCTCCTCTTCTTTTCTCTTTCTCTCCCGACTGTTACCCCAATGGGTTCCACAACGGCTGGGGAACACACATAGTCCAATAGCTTGGTCAGAATTTAGCTTATGTTTGGCCGCATAGGCGTTTCCAGAGGGCAGGGGGCGGCGGTGGATCGCCGTAGGCGCCTTGGACAACATCGACCCTGCCATGGATCAAACTTGTCAGGTGATGTGAACAGTGGGACAGAGTTGATCACCCAGCAAGACACTCGAGTCAAAAGAGCAACGGATGAAGATAGCACCGCAGTCACCAAGTGTGGCATGGCTGGGGCACAGAGAATGTCGGATCTAAACGCGGAAACAGGATCGACACAGAGCCAACCTTCCACCTTCCCTCCCTCACACATCCTCTCCCATCGCTTCTCTCCTCCCTCCTCCCTCTTCCGTCCTCCCTCTTCGTCCCCTCTCATCCTCCTTCTTCCTTCCTCCGCTTCCTCTTTCCTCTTTTCTCACTTCCAATTCGAAACAAGCACACACCCGAGACTCAATGACCACGAACATGAGCGCACCAGCGGAGCCTCCCCCACGGCCCCGAGGGCCGCCCAACATGGGGCCAGCTTCGGATCGGGAAGCCGGGTCGAGGTCGGAACCCCGTCGTAACTGATGGAATCGGGGCCAAGTCGGCAGTCGCCGCGTCGGCTCTCAAATCAGAAACCAGAGCTCGAATCGAAGACTTTCTCGAGTCGGATCGATGCCGAACCGGCCTGGGGCTGCGCCGGATCGGGCCAGATCGGAGACCCAGGTCACCAGACGCTGAAAGCGCCCGCTGCTGACGACGAGGAGACGCAGACAGGGCCGGGGGGCGCCCCCTTCGACACAGACTTCCGATCCCGCGTTCCTTCCCCGAACAGTGCTTGCACTACTACAGCGTGGCTAATGGTTGTGACCTCTGTTACGGCGCGCTTGTGAATCGAGATCCGCGGAGAGAGCGCTTCCTCAAGCGATACTGCGATGAGGCGAGGTGTTCCAGAACACAAGAACCCGCTCGCCGTAGTCATAAAACGGGGTGAACCACCCCGGCGGTGGTGTAAGCTCCCCATGTGGAAAAACGGGCGGGGGAAATTTCCACACCGCGATGCATATACAATAACCCCCCCCAAAGAAAAACAAAGCCGGGTGTGGGGCCGAAACCTGCTCCGCCACAGCCCGGTCCCACATTGCTGGACTCTGCAGGGGGGCAGGGGTCCCACGTCAGCAGGGATGGCCAGATCTTTAGCGGCAGCTTGCGCGGCTTCTGCGCAAGTGCTCGGGCGGGTTCACACAGCGTTCGCCGGGTCGCCGCCCGCGGGCGCCTCGTGCGCTGGCGCCGCACGTGGGGGCGCCTCGCGCCTTGGCTGGGTTGCCAGGGTTTCGCCTGGCCGCCGTCCGTGGGCGCCTCGTGGGCGTCCCCGTCCGTTGGCTGGCGGCGCGAAGCACACACTGTTCACACCCCATAGATTGCAAACGCAAATTGCGCTCAGTCGTTGTCGTCGTCGTTGTCGTCGTCGTCTTCCCTTCTCCCTCGTCGTTGTCGTCGTCGGCGCCGCCGTCCTTCCTCCTTCTCTGTCGTTCGCGTCGTCGCCGTCCTCCCTCCTCCCTCGTCGTTGTCGTCGTTATCGTCGTTGTCGCCGTCGTCGTCCTTCCTCCTCCCTCGCCTTCGTTGGCGTCTTCGTCGTCGTCTTCGTCGTCGTCGGCGTCGTTGTCGTCGTCGAAGTCGTCGGAGACGTCGTCGGTGTCGTCGTAGTCGTTGTCGTCGGTGTCGTCGTAGTCGGTCTTGAGAGGTTTTGCAAACCAAGTTGCGGGTGGGTGGGTGGGATGTTTGCGCGAGCAGTGGAGATGACGACTTCAAGTTCAGCGGAGTGGTTCACACCCCATAGATTGCAAACGCAAATTGCGCTCAGTAGATTGCACCACGCAGATTGCGCCCCATAGCTTGCATCGAATGGCATGCACTACGCAGAGTGCACCCCAAATGCTGCACCTAATACGGTTTGCTGGCGGCTCGAAGCACACATTGCCCACACCCAACAGGTTGCACCACGCAAATGGCGCCCCATAGCTTGCATCGAGTGGCATGTACTGCGCAGAAAGCACCGTACATGCTGCACCAAACATCTTGCACCACACGTATAGAGTGCAACACATACATTGCACCACATCGCATACATCACATAGATTGAAACTCAAGGGCAAAACCCCTTCCGCAAAACCCCCTGTAGTGAAAACGACCCGGGGACCACACCTGGCGGGCGCAAGCCCGCAAACATGCGGCCGCAAACCTTCTCGAGAACCAACAAATGGCAATTCGCTTATCGACTTGGCAACGTGCGGGTTCTATTAACCTCCGACCAACTGGATGACGCGAATGTCTTCATCATTGCAACCGTGGACACTGAAGCTTGCAAAACACTCGCTCTGCACGTCAAATTCCCTTACACAAGCTGTACGGCGTCGCGCGCTGTCGGCGCGACGAACGAGGCGCGCCCCCCTGGGCCCGTTAGGAGCAGCTCTACTCGGATGGACCAGCTGCTTGCATGCAGGAGGGTTGAGGCGACCCGACTTCCTAACAATCGGTGCAGCCATCGCCGAACACCTGCCAGCCGAGGCACGGGTCGTTGGACGGGTTCCGAGCGCAGTAGCCCTCTCCGTGAGACGCGTGGACGTACGCCTGCAGGTCGACGCTGGCCTTGGTGCCGTCTGTCAGGTCGCAAGTCCACCCGCAGTCCTCTCCCTCCCAGCACGACTTGCACGAGGCAGTCCCGGCGTACTGGCCCTGCCACTGCTGCGGGCACACGCTGCCCTTGATGTCCAAGCCGTCCAAGAAGGCGCAGCTTCGCTGCGCGTCGGTGGACTGCAGGGAAGCAGACGCCTGGGCGCTGCTGCTCATGCCACTGGCTGCACAATCGGTGCAGCCATCGCCGAACACCTGCCAGCCGAGGCACGGGTCGTTGGACGGGTTCCGAGCGCAGTAGCCCTCTCCGTGAGACGCGTGGACGTACGCCTGCAGGTCGACGCTGGCCTTGGTGCCGTCCGTCAGGTCGCAAGTCCACCCGCAGTCCTCTCCCTCCCAGCACGACTTGCACGAGGCAGTCCCGGCGTACTGGCCCTGCCACTGCTGCGGGCACACGCTGCCCTTGATGTCCAAGCCGTCCAAGAAGGCGCAGCTTCGCTGCGCGTCGGTGGACTGCAGGGAAGCAGACGCCTGGGCGCTGCTGCTCATGCCACTGGCTGCACAATCGGTGCAGCCATCGCCGAACACCTGCCAGCCGAGGCACGGGTCGTTGGACGGGTTCCGAGCGCAGTAGCCCTCTCCGTGAGACGCGTGGACGTACGCCTGCAGGTCGACGCCGGCCTTGGTGCCGTCTGTCAGTCACAAGTCCACCCGCAGTCCTCTCCCTCCCAGCACGACTTGCACGAGGCAGTCCCGGCGTACTGGCCCTGCCACTGCTGCGGGCACACGCTGCCCTTGATGTCCAAACCGTCCAAGAAGGCGCAGCTTCGCTGCGCGTCGGTGGACGGTTGCTGCAGGGACACTGCACTGGGCACTGCTGCATGCTGCACAATTCGGGCAGCCATCGCCGAACACCTGCCAGCCGAGGGGGTCGTTGGACGGGTTCCGAGCGCAGTAACCCTCTCCGTGAGACGCGTGGACGTACGCCTGCAGGTCGACGCTGGCCTTGGTGCCGTCCGTCAGGTCGCAAGTCCACCCGCAATCCTCTCAGACACTGGACACGAGGCAGCACGGCGTACTGGCCCTGCCACTGCGCGGGCACAGTGCCAAGCCGTCCAAGAAGGCGCAGCTGCGCGCGCGTGGACTGCAGGGAAGCAGACGACTGGGCACTGCTGCTCATGCCACTGGCTGCACAATCGGTGCAGCCATCGCCGAACACCTGCCAGCCGAGGCACGGGTCGTTGGACGGGTTCCGAGCGCAGTAACCCTCTCCGTGAGACGCGTGGACGTACGCCTGCAGGTCGACGCTGGCCTTGGTGCCGTCCGTCAGGTCGCAAGTCCACCCGCAATCCTCTCCCTCCCAGCACGACTTGCACGAGGCAGTCCCGGCGTACTGGCCCTGCCACTGCTGCGGGCACACGCTGCCCTTGATGTCCAAGCCGTCCAAGAAGGCGCAGCTTCGCTGCGCGTCGGTGGACTGCAGGGAAGCAGACGCCTGGGCGCTGCTGCTCATGCCACTGGCTGCACAATCGGTGCAGCCATCGCCGAACACCTGCCAGCCGAGGCACGGGTCGTTGGACGGGTTCCGAGCGCAGTAGCCCTCTCCGTGAGACGCGTGGACGTAAGCCTGCAGGTCGACGCCGGCCTTGGTGCCGTCTGTCAGGTCACAAGTCCACCCGCAGTCCTCTCCCTCCCAGCACGACTTGCACGAGGCAGTCCCGGCGTACTGGCCCTGCCACTGCTGCGGGCACACGCTGCCCTTGATGTCCAAGCCGTCCAAGAAGGCGCAGCTTCGCTGCGCGTCGGTGGACTGCAGGGAAGCAGACGACTGGGCACTGCTGCTCATGCCACTGGCTGCACAATCGGTGCAGCCATCGCCGAACACCTGCCAGCCGAGGCACGGGTCGTTGGACGGGTTCCGAGCGCAGTAGCCCTCTCCGTGAGACGCGTGGACGTACGCCTGCAGGTCGACGCTGGCCTTGGTGCCGTCCGTCAGGTCGCAAGTCCACCCGCAGTCCTCTCCCTCCCAGCACGACTTGCACGAGGCAGTCCCGGCGTACTGGCCCTGCCACTGCTGCGGGCACACGCTGCCCTTGATGTCCAAGCCGTCCAAGAAGGCGCAGCTTCGCTGCGCGTCGGTGGATTGCAGGGAAGCAGACGCCTGGGCGCTGCTGCTCATACCACTGGCTGCACAATCGGTGCAGCCATCGCCGAACACCTGCCAACCGAGGCACGGGTCGTTGGACGGGTTCCGAGCGCAGTAGCCCTCTCCGTGAGACGCGTGGACGTAAGCCTGCAGGTCGACGCTGGCCTTGGTGCCGTCCGTCAAATCGCAAGTCCACCCGCAGTCCTCTCCCTCCCAGCACGACTTGCACGAGGCAGTCCCAGCGTACTGGCCCTGCCACTGCTGCGGGCACACGCTGCCCTTGATGTCCAAGCCGTCCCAGAAGGCGCAATTTCGCTGCGGGTCGGTGGACGATCCACGCAGGCTCGGCGCGGGAGTGCTGGCAGCTCCAACGGCAAAGGTGACTGTGAATCCGCCACCGTGCACCCTGGTACGTTGAGGCGTAGTAGTATGCCAAGGGCTGTCAGGTAACATTTGTTTTTTTTCGTCCCCCCCTCCCGAGGCCACGATCTCTGGGCAAAAGACGATGAAACATTTGCGCTCCAGAGGCCACGATCGCAGGTAATGAACTATGGATCCGCCTCCCGAGTTTCCAAGACGGCCCAGGCAGGCAACTAAGGCCGCCAAGATGGGCCAAGATGCCTCGAAGACGGCCCAAGATGGCCTCAAGGCGGCCCAAGAGGGCCTTAGAGGGCCACAAGAGGACCTCCAAAAGGGTCCGAAGACGCCCAAACCGTTGAGCTCCCTTAGGTGTTTGACAAATGTTCGCATTCTCGCCTCTTCGAGCTTCTCTCAGCTCAAGACGGCCCAAGAAGCATCCCACATGTCCCCAAGACGGCCTAAGAGGCCCCCCACAGGGTCTCAAGATGGCCCACTAGGACTCCACGATGGCCCAAGCGGCATCCAAAACGGCCCCAACACGGCCCAAGAGGGTCGGTCCCCAGGGGGATCCAAGACGACCTTATAAGGCCCTTCGACGGCCAAAGACTGCCTCGAGACGGCCCCCAGACACCGCCCCGTACGGCCAAGATCGCCACAAAAAACGGCCCAAGAGAGCCCCAAGACGGCCGAAGAGCCCCAAGATGGCCCCAAGACGGTCCCAAGGAGCCCTGAAGACTGCCCCACAGGAGACCAAGGTAGCCCCAAGACCGGTCAAATGAACTCCATTAGGGCTCCTCAAGAAATGAAAACGAAAGGTGTCACGTGTGACAGCCTTTCTCTTTCTCCTTCTCCTCCTCCGCCCCCTCCTGCTCCTCCTCCTCCTCCTCCTCCTATTCCCCTCCTCTTCCTCCTCGTCCTCCTCCCCATCGTCATCGTCATCGTCATCGTCATCGTCATCGTCATCGTCATCATCATCATCATCATCATCATCATCATCATCATCATCATCATCATCATCATCATCATCATCATCATCATCATCATCATCATCATCCTCATCATCATCATCCTCATCCTCATCAGCATCAGCATCAGCATCAGCATCATCATCAGCATCATCATCATCATCATCATCATCATCAGCATCATCATCAGCATCATCATCACAACCATCACATCATCAGCATCATCATCATCATCATCATCATCATCACACCACCACCACCACCACCACCACCACCACCATCATCATCATCATCATCATCATCATCATCATCATCATCATCATCATCATCATCATCATCATCACGGCCCTCCCAAGCCTGGGGACACGAGGTGTCACAAAAGACGGCCTCCCGTGCCCCCTCGAACAGTCGCCACTCAGAATGCTGGGCTGGCACGGTGGCGGAACTTGCTGCTGGCAGATTGATCCGCAGCGCTCTGCATTCATCACAGGGGTGCTTTGCGTGCTCGACGTCTTTCCCCAAACAGTGCTTGCACTTACGGGTTCTTACTTTTTTTCTAAGGAACTGGGCCTGCCTGTCGGTCTGGCGGCTCTGTTGTGGCCGTCGCCGCCCCGTCGCCGCCCGTAACTGGGCCTGCCTGTGCGTCTGGTGGCTATGTTGCCGCCGTCGCCGCCCCGCCGCCGCCGTCGCCGCTCGTCGCCGCCAGATTGCACCATACAGGTTGCACAATACACGTAGCTTGCATCGCATATTTTTCACCACCTAGAGGTGAGGCGAGGCGAGGCGAGGCGCGCCTGAGTCCGCCGGGGGGCGGGGCCTGGAAGGCCGGCGCGGGCGGGCCGGGGCCCTCAGTCACAGAAGTGGGAGTTGTGGCCAATGCAGTGTGTGTGTGTCGTAGGAATGCTTGCTCCAAATTGTTCCACTGGTCGCTGTCTTGTGCTACTGTATACCACTTTCCGCTGCCAGGTTCGAGAAGCATCTTCGCTGTCAAAAACTGCGTGATATCGTCTTCCCACCGCTTCCTCTGACGCCCGTGCCTGCGGACTGCTTGCCGGTGGTCGTGGACGTCCGGCCCCCACGTCGCAGCAAGTCGGCCCCATCTGTCGTACGGTTGGTTTGCAACTCGCCCAGCCCACCGCCATTTCCGTCGAAAGTACACCGTAGTCCACTCATCCACGCGGGCCCGTTTTGCTAGATCCGCGGCAGTGTGCGTAGCTCTGCGGATAAAGACTTCCCATGGTTCGAGGTCGAAGTCGTCGTCGCCACCGTCCGCATGAAACTCGTCGTCGTCGTCGTCGAAATTCGTCCTGTGTTCGCGTCCGTCGTATGCGTGCGTTCCTGCGTCGATGTTGCCCGTGTTGTCGGTAAGGGCGTCGTTGCGAAATGCTCGGCGTCGCGGGGTGTTCACGATGAGTCGCAGCATCCTTCTTTGAGTGCGCGTCAGGGTTTGGAGCATGTCCTTGGTCATCGTCCAGGATACGGACCCGTAAATGACCGTAGGCGTCACAGTTCCATTGAAAAGACGGAGTCTGCTGTGTAGTGGGTATCGCTTGTTGGTGAGCTCGTTGCGGAGCTGGTTGAACCGGCGCCATCCAGATGCCATTCTGTTGTTGAGTTCAGCGTGGTGGTACTGGTTGTCGTGAAGCGTGAGCTTGCGACCGAGGTATTTGGTTGTTTGGTCTGCGCATAGAATTTCGAGGTCGTCGCCGTCAACGCTGGTGTGTGTAATGGTCCGTCCTTCACATCTGCTGAGGCTGGTAAGGATTTTGGTTTTGTCTGGGTGTAGTACAAGCCCACACTTTCCGGCTTCTCTCTTCAGATCCCGAAGGATCACCTTCAATTGTCGTAAGTTGGGTGCAAGGAGAAGCGCGTCATCTGCAAACCGTAGATTGGTAAGTCGTGTATGCCTGCCGTGCCCCAATTTGGCGCCAAAGCCTTTACTTTCCCAAAAAGGCTGGACCTGTCGGAAAACGTGCTCGAACACCGCGTTGAAGAGGTAAGAACTGAGCGGGTCGCCTTGCTTAACCCCGCGCTGTATGCTGAATTCCTTGCTGCTGACGTCTGTCTTAACCGTGGCG